CAAAATAGAGTCACTTTACAAATAGTACATTTTGTAGATATGGCACTCCATAAAAACAGGAGGCAAATCAGCTGTGTAGAGTGAAACAGCTCTTCAGGATTCCAAAAAAGCCACTTAGGAGCGCCTCTGTTTCCATTCTACAGTATTTATGCTAGATCACAGAATAATGAGCAACCATTAAATTTGTGTGCTTTGTAGGGAACTTAGAAAACAGTTTTCCCATCATTTAGTAGCTGCAAGATAAGTAAAACAACACTGCACACCAAGAAATACAAGGTACAGAAAGACGCTGAAAGTCAGGATATAGGAGAGTAATATCTTTATCCACTTTGATACCTTTTCAGTTATTCAGGTATTTTGTGGTTCTGTGTTTGGCACATTAGGTGCATTGAAGCGGAAATAACAACAAGCAGCTGCTGTTTACAGCATTTCCCCCGAGATGGGAACAGTTGCTTCTGCACTTTAAGACCCAACCATGTTACATCTGTATTAAAATGAGAAGACAAACATGTCTTACTGCCAGCTCTGCCTGAATTTCAAATGAAAACCACATTAGTTAACTTGTAAATTTCTCAGTCAGTCAGTCTCCAGTGTCAACTTACATAGTTTAAATAAAACATCTCACCAGCACAGTGGACCCACTGGAGTGGGTCCAGAGAAGGGCAATGAATCTGGTGAAGGGCCTGGAGCACAAGCCTTAGGAGAAACAGTTCCCCTTTTGAGGGAACTAGGGTTCTTTAGCCTGGAGAAGAGCAGGTTCGTGGAGGACCTTATCACTCTCTACAACTACACAAAAGGAGGGTGGCATGAGGAGATGGCTGGTCTCTTTCCCCAAGTAGGGCCACGAGGATGATCAGGGGACTGGAGCACCTCCCGTGTGAAAACAGGCTAAGAAAGTTGGGGCTGTTCAGCCTGGAGAAGAGAAGGCTGTGTGGAGACCTCATAGCAGCCTTCCAGTATCTGAAGGGGGCCTATAGGGATGCTGGGGAGGGACTCTTCATTAGGGACTGTAGTGATAGGACAAGGGGTAACGGGTTAAAACTTAAACAGGGGAAGTTTAGATTGAATATAAGGGAGAAGTTCTTTCCTGTTAGGGTGGTGAGGCACTGGAATGGGTTGCTCAGGGAGGTTGTGAATGCTCCATCCCTGGCAGTGTTCAAGATCAGGTTGGACGAAGCCCTGGATGACACGGTTTAGTGGGAGGTGTCCCTGCCTATGGCAGGGGGGTTGGAACTAGATGATCTTGAGGTCCTTTCCAACCCTAATTATTCTATGATTCTGTGATTCTAAGTAACAAGTGATAGGACAAGAGGAAATGGTCTCAAGCTGCCCCAGGGGAGATTTACACTGGATATTAGGAAAAATGTCTTCACCAAGAGGGTGATCAGGTATTGGAATAGGCTGCCTAGGGAAATGCTGGAATCACCCTTTGGCTCAACTGTCAGCAATCATACAGGCTTAAATATGTTAAGTCCCACAACCCACAGGTTTTCCACTCTTGCTGCTGTCATAAACACCATGAGAATGGGATCCCAGGCTCAGAGAGGCTGCCAGGGTATCAAGTCATAGCATGTTTGGTCCCACTGCTTTCTATGTGTTTATATGAAGAAAAGCTTGATCATGAACTCATTATCTTATAGGCACAGGCTCTCCTCATTTGGATACCTACAGGTATTCAGGCCTCAGCAGGCACTAAGTGAGGACTTTGGGACTGACAGTATGGTGGATGTCTCTCCTTAGAAGATGCAGTCATGCCTGCTCTGACATTAGCAAGAGTTCTGTCTGGAGAGAACAGCCCTCCCTAACTTAGTAGGAATAATAAAAAGATAAACATAACAGTGACATTGGTGAGACTGAACTTTACTGACAGCACGACAAAATCCATTTCCTTTTTTAGTTCAAATGCTTTCTACGCCATCTGAATACTTGGGATTGCAAAGTTGCAACTTAGAGTAGTTTTCAAAGTGCATTTTTCTTAGTTGAAGCTATTCATGCTAAAGGACTGGCTTACTGATACTGCCTGGCCAAAGAGAAGGATAAAAAGCAGAACAGAAACCTGAAGTATCAGTGGATTAACTTTTCAAAAGCACCTGCATGCCTTGAGTACAGAGTTGCCTCAAACAGCAACACAACATCTGCACCCATGTCACATCATTGCTAGATGGATACATCCCTGATATCCCTGAGGGCTTCATGCTTCACAAAGCAGTAATGACTTTTCTTCTACTGCTTAAAGTTATTCGGAAATGCAAATGTCTTGAAGTTAAGCACAGGTGCCTAATCAAAAGTTTGAAAGTTTGACAATTCTGAATATAAATTTTGATGATATCAAACATCTCTTGCAAGACCAAAACCAAGCAAATATTATAAGAGTTTATGAACACTAAGCCTGCAATAGAGCAAATGTTTAGGAAAACATCTCAGAAGTATGCAAACTACTTTTTTTTTCTGTTTGCTTTAACATTTCTTTAGCTTGGTTTGGTTTTATTTTTTTCTTTCCATTGCTATGTGCAAGAATCCACACAAAACTCTTCGAAAAATTACTTAGAAAGGTGGAACTGAACCGGACATACTACAAGAGTGGTCAAATAAAGCAAAAAAAAAAACCCAACCAACAAACCAACAAACCCAAACAGGTAAGAAAAATCAACAAATTGTTTTCTTCTTTTAAGGATTTTAATGATAATATTCAACATTGATTACAATAGGAAAAAATCAAAGAAATATTATTTCAGTTCTTGGTGATAATATTTGATAAACATGCTAAAATCTTACAGGAGGAATTAATGAATTATTTATCAACCAAGCAGGATATTAAATTCTGGTCAATATATAGATGAACACAAACATGCAGAAAATGCAGTTACATCTATGAAGTTACATCTAAAACCGTATCACTTCTCACCAGACTTCCTCAGTATCCTACAGTGACCCTCGTTTTCAATTAAGTTCCATTTTTTTAAGGTATAATTTGCTGTAATACCTGTGACCAGTTACATTTCCCAGGCTTCAGCCTAATTTCAAGCTGTTTCGCTTTCGACCTTTCTAAGAGTGATACCACCCGCTGCTGATTTCTCACCCAGAGTTCAGAGATCCAAATTTGCTTTTGTTTCCAATTCAAAACTTTCATTGGAATTTTGGCCCATGGAAATGGCACCTTTCTATTCCCCTGGATTTGTACTGCGTTTTGAAACACTTTGGCATAAAAGGCATTGTAAGAGTTTGGGTCCGCAATGTATTTTATTGCCTAAATAGCTAGATGGTTCCCGTTTTTACCAGAGTAACGCAGTGGAATGAGTGTGATGAAGAACCTATTAAGGCTCTGAGAGAAACTGAGTGATAAAAAACCTAAACATTCACTTGTTTTATTTTTCTGTTTCTTGGTTACATTTTCAAAGTGTGTCCACTACTACTCCCATTAACATCAGCAGGGGGCTTGTAAATAAGTCTTTACCCAGTGTTTCAAAAAACTGAGTTTCTCTGAAGAAGCAAAGAGATCCCAACCCATTTCATTACTTAAAGAAACAGAGCAGGCCAGTAAAGAGAAAATCAAATGCAGGCAAGCACCTTAAGACATCTCCGAAGGTTGCATCTGGACACTTCATAACCTGAACTGAAATATCATATTCTGAAATATACCAAACATAATTCAGGAAAGGTAGCCTATTACCTGGTTAGAAGCATGGATAAAAATTCAGATGATATAAAATTAAATTAATTGTACCTTAATTTAGAAGTTTGAGCATCATCTTCAACTTGGTAAATATATGTTTCATGATGCTAGACTCATAGCTGATAGTACATAAATCACCAACCATAAGGGTATCTACTTTTCCTCTGGCCAGTGATAATGCTTCCGAAACTGTAAATGTACGTGAACACTGAGGTTCTCCAGACATCACAAGCCAGAGCTACAGAAGAGATTTATCATCTTTTCTGAGATGGTAGTTAAGAGCTATGCCTGGTTTAAAGGACAGAGACAGTCACTCTTATTTTCCATTAAAGTTAGAAAACCACAGTGTTTTAGAAAGAATTGTGGCTCAGTAGATGTACTCTAGCAACAGTTCCAGTGCTGCTGTAACTGAAGTGGCATCAACAGTTTCACAATAAACTATACTGCCAGAAAAATCATTCCATGTTGTAAGCTGACACAGAAGACCTCATACCAGGCACAAATCCTTCAGCACCATGAATTTAGTTTGTATGATTTTTGGCTAAGAAGTTGTGAGAAAAGAAAAAGCAAGAAGAAAAGTCTTAAAATGGAAACCAACAATTTAGGCTTACCTAGTATTCAAACAGAATTTGCAGACACTTTTTAGAGCAGATCAGAGATGGTTTATTCCTCCAAACTAACACACATACTACTCCTGCTAAACACAGCAATGATTTGCACAAGAAAAACCGTCTTCAGAAAAGTTAAACTGACATCCTGCATTCACTTTTACATTAGAGGAAAAACTCAGACAAACAATTTTGTTTCTGGACCACAGAACCTTGCTTATTTGCCTGGTCAAAAAACACCTGAAGATTATTAACAGAATAGGCAACCCCAAGCACAAATCATTATGGCAACCTTAACTTGCTACTTGTTAATTAAAGCAGTAACTGTATTCATTACAGTGCTGGGATTTCACTGCTGCTTACATACATGCTTCTTTGTATGATTATGCAGATGGTACTATTTAAAATGAACTTTAAGCCAGTGAAACAAAAAGGAGGAGGCTGAATTGTGTACAGTTTAGTTGAATTTCCTGTTCTTAGATCACAGTAATTCTAACAGTTTTCTAAGATGTATCTTGGTATGTTAGAACTGAGCATGTTTGTTTCAAACCTGCTACCTGAAAAAGACTGAAGAGCTGAAGATGTCTGAGATGTAGAAGAGTAGGTGAATAGAAGTTACCAGTTTGGGGGATTTCTTAGGACAGGCTGTTCTTTGAGGGTTTTTTTTTTTCATATTTTTAAAGAGCAAAATAAATTTCTTTTGATATAATCTCACTCACCTGCTCTGGGTACTTGCTTCCAACTATCTCTGCCACAGTGTTGAAGGAAGGAGCATCTGGATAGGTCTTAGCCCCCATCTTCAGGTGCACAATGATCTTAATGCCCCGGAGAGACATTCGTGACATCATTTCAGCATCTTCCACAGAGATGCAGGCAGTGGGAATCTGGGGCACACCAGGCTGGTAATACTGCCACCCAGTATGTGGGCTGTGAGAATAAAAATCAAATGACAGTGACAACAACTTATCTCTGTGAGTTATTATCATTATCATAGGATTATTAAAAAGAAAACTTTCGGTACCATCCCCAGCAGACTCTCAAAAAAGGATATATTTATATTAATAAACCTTGAGGTGTTCTTCAAATCAAGTGTTCTTATACTAATCAGAATATCTGATTGTACCCCATTCTCTCTGTCTAGAAAGCTATTCTGTGTCAGCTCTATTGTGGTCATTGTCATGCTTTGACATAACAGTACTAAATACTCTGATACCACACTTACTTCACTGCTTTATCAGGAAGAAAAGCAATGAAAAGTGAACTGTTCATAAGAAGTGCATTTTTTTGCCTGTGACACGTATTGAAATTAAAAGTCACTACTTCAATTATTTTGACATCAGACTGGAGGTTTATTTTGAAGAGCACTAATATGAGGGACTTCAGGAAAAATAAGACAATAAGACTATAAAAATAAAAAGCAGTTATTTGGTCTCAGTACACTTGAGATTTCACCACTACCTGTAGACATAAGAGAACTAAACAAACAAACAAAAACAACATCCCAAACTCCCAATTAATTTTACACAAATAATGCGAAGAAGCAGCAAAATATACACCACCAGGTGTAAGGCTTCAGTGTTTTCCATTTAGGAATAGCTATGCCTTATGAAAATCTGAAAAAAGGGAAACAAAGTAAGACAAATATAATCCCAAAGTTCCTCTGACATTCAATGTGCAATATGGAGTGATTACTTCTTTCCTCTAAGAAAGCTACAAACATTTTCATGACTATTCAAAGCTTATTTCCCTTATTTAAAACTTATTTCCCTTCCAGAGGCTCCTTCTACCACCGTTGCATGCCTAGCTAACTGGAGTGAGTGATTCCACATCTGACATCACAGGACTGCTAATAGGTTCCTTCAGTGTTATTTCACATTTGGTCATTATTTAATATTCCTCATTTTCTGGTCGCCTGTTACAATCTTTGGATTTGACTTGCAGGAGCACTGAGCATTACAGCTGCAGCTGAAGTCAATGCTTTTAAAGTGAAGTTGTATATAAAGCCAGATACAGTGGAAAAAAAATGTGTGGGAAAAGAGACATTAGGTTCTAGATGTATGCCCAAATTTGCAAATACTCCCAATATGAAATCATTCCTTGCCTTCATTTCCCACTTGTAAAGTGGGAATAAGAATACTCTGTTTCAGAAACAGGGGAAAAAAGGGAACAAAACCACTCTTTGTTTCACAATGACAGACTCAATGGACACTTGAGAACAATTCTGATATTGCAATAATGATCAGAAATTGACTGGTATATAATTACTTGTCCTAAATCCTAAAATAAGCTTAGAAATGTGCATTGAAATATTAGGGTAAAACTCTAAGCAAGCAGCTTTCCAGTATTAGCCATCCTCTGCAATAGATCTGTAAGCTGAAATAATATATCTGCAACTTTTTATTTCAGGTCTACTTTGTAATTCTCACATTTCAGTCACTACTACAGCGTTGTTTTCAAAACACATAAGATATTCAGACACCTAGAGGCTTCTTTAATATTCTTGTGAATATGCTATTTCTCTATTTGTCTGTTACAAAATTCTGACTTCATCAGTGAAATGCCATGAATTACGTCTCCAAAGGAAATCTCTAAAGCTAAATCATATCTTTACCTACATGTTACCCTATGAAGAAGAGCTACAGTTGAAGCTTTCAAAGCAGATTACAGACATTCTTCACATCAGCTGTTAGAAATTTTAATGCTATTTATCCATATATTGATAACAGAATTGCAGAACAGCTGAGGTTGTCAGGGAACTCTGGACGTCATCTGGTCCAAACACCCTTTTAAGTCTTCAAAACTGGGAAAAAAACCCCATGCTTACTGCCTGAAGATGTGGTGAGGAGGAAGGGAGAAGTCCACTTTGTAAGGATATAGATTAGGTAAAATGTGAGAGATTATTCAATTCTATTTATTTAGAAGAATAAATCCTTATCAACAATAGCATCGTGTTGTAATCAATAACATAACCAACACAGTAGATGTGTAAAAACATATATCTGTAAATAAAATACAGAGACATAAGACAGAGGTCTTAGGGGAGCTGCTTCAGAGCGTAGACAGATCTGTTTATTAGGTGGCAACAGTTCAGGACATTACTGCTTCCAGTTGTTTACAGCTGAACCTCATAGGAAGGGTGGTGCCTTCTCCTCATCAGCTTTGCAGGCTGGGTGACCCATGGCTGCCTTTGTAAATAACAGTTACCCTGGTACTCAGCATTTCTTGTGCCACATAATCCTCTGAGCATGATAAACTCATGTAGATAAGTAAGCTGAGGGTTTTTTAATTCCCTTTGTCCTTGTAATAAAGAAAGAAGAAAAAAATGTCCCTTTCACCCTCACTTTAAAACTGCAACAATTTGCTGCATATGTTTAATATTTCTTTAAATGTTTGTGGGTATAGCCAGCATGTTAGCCAGGAGACATTCCAAAAAGCCACAGAATATACAACTCACTGGGGGGGGGGGGGGGGGGGGGAATTAAAAAAAAAAAAAAAAGAAAGAGATATGACAATTTCATGTATTAATGTTAGAAAAAAACCACCCTATATTCAATGGAAGTTTCTACTCCTTTGAAATGAATCCATTCACTTGTGTCTTCTGGCAAGATTCTGTCTTAGTACTAACATGCCATGTATGCTGAACTGCAGTAAGTCAAGTTGTATCATTGATTTCACTCTCCTGGTTATTTCCCAGATGCTCAACAAAAGAACCCCCTAAACCTGTATTTGTTTCTGCAGTATAAGTAGCAATTACATTTGTTTCGAATGCTCAATCCCAAGGCTTCACCACAACTGTGAATAAAGCTTCTGACAGGCCACTGAGATACACACGTTCTTACACACCTCAAATGAATGAACGCTTTAAGGTACAATATATAACCCAGCTAGCCCGAAAAATAAACCTTGAAGTCACCTGGTAGTTGTGCCATTTTTATGCTCAAACTGCTATTTTGACAAGATTATAAAGCTAAACCCAACAATCCAAATTAACACATTTTGGCACAGGCAGGCAGAGCCAACAACTGTTCAGCTGATACTAGGACATGAAGGGAACGGATAACTGTGAAAAAAACAATTGCTACAAAAAGGGAAATGGACTCTAAGCATTACCAGTGCAAAGGCTCAAGGCAATATCTCTGTACTGTGCATTCTTAATACTGCAAGATGAAATCGCATAGAGAATATTTGTGGCAGACACTAAACATCCTAGGATATACCCGATCAAAGTTTACATGCGTGCAAAACACACCATATGTTAAGTATATCTACATAGTAAATCGCTTAATAAAGTGTCAAAGACTACATGAAAAAAAAAAAACATCTAAGTAATTAAGCCACTTTTATGCAGAGATAACCAAAAACCAGAAAGGCTGCTGACCATATGACAAGACCTGAGCAAGAATTAACTGAACAGAACAGAAAAGAAATTACTAGAAGACTGTGTGCAGCAGATGAAAATGGAGAGAAGCAGTCCTGAGTTCAACTCAAAACAGGGTGGAGAGGATGTAGTTTAGGAGAAGAAATTTTGGAATTTTGGTATTGGTGGGTAAGGAAGATTTTTATTTTCACTGAGTCTGAACAAACATGGATTTGTAGCTATTCTTTATTAAAAAAAAATTTACAAAAAAAAAGAGAAGAAAAAATTAAATGTGACTTGTATTTGCCATTCCCTGCCCCTTAAAAAAAAAGAAAAGAAAGAAAAGCATCATGTAAAACCAGCTAGGGAGATCACAAAGCAACCCTGACTCAGAATCAACATTTATCTTTGCAACACTGGTAGCTACAGGCAAGCAAGGTGCACCTCTGGTGTTTCCTGACACCCAGGAATGATGTCAGCTTCGGCTGCTTGAAGCCCACACTCACTCCAAAAGATTTTGTCATGCAGCAAAGCCTGAATTCATTTTGCAAAACTTTCAGGGTAATTAACCCATTCAGTACCTAACACACCCATACTCCAATGCCATAGTTTGATGTTCAATAGAGGAGAGGGTACGTGGTTCTTCTGATTTTGTATCTACTGGATCACCTCATCTCCCTAGTTAAACTACTTAAAAATTTGAACACATCTCACTAGATTTCTCCTTTATGAACTTACTAATATTAATAAAAACTGATAATCATTTGGGCTTGATATTCCCGCTCAACAGCTGACAAGACTCAGATAAACAAAATGGTTGGGTTTTGGTTTTGATGAACCTGTGGATTTCACATCTTGGAAAGTTTTCTCTTTTAGAAGTGCACATCAGATGACAGATGTGGCTTCCATCTTACAGAAAAGTGTAAAGGAAGGGTAAAGAAGTCAAGAGGCAGCTAGTTAGTTTCTCTTCTGAGTAACATAATCAAATGTGGAGACATTAAAATGCATGGATGAAAATATGTGCTTCTGGTATCAGGTCAGTTCTAGCTCTTGTTACTGTGGTAGCTGAGCTTGCATGCTTCCTTACTTTGCTCCTGGACTACTACCTACCTTATCTCTAAGATAAAGCAAAATGCCCAAGGGCAAATGAACTGTGTAAGAGCCAATGCTTCAAGCTAAACTGGATGCTCTGATGGAAAACATATCTCAAGTTGAAGCCTCAGGCAAAGACGGCAATATCCTAAAGGAAGAAGTAAGCGTGACATTACAAAAACTCTAATATGACTACAAGAAAGCAAAACAAAACAAAATTTAATTATATGAAAGCTTACAAAGACCTAGTTCAGCCACAATGTGTGGCTGAATATACACACCCCAATGTACAATTCTTCACATCTATCTCATAAAGCAATCTAGGGTTGGGAAATACAAAATGAATGTTCTCTTAAGTTTCTTTAGTTTACTCACTCATACAAACACATTGTGAGACTAATTGCATACAGAGCTGCCTGTTTTCTACAGGACTCATACCACAGCCACTTTACCAGCCACATGTAATCTCAACATTCAT